AAAAAAAAAAAAAAGAAACAGTAGCTGCTGCCTCGCACGTCGTCAGCCATAGAAATTCCGCAGAGCCCTGTGACTGTTCCCCGATGTTAATGTCCTTCTTTATGTCAGACACTTTGATCAGATCTAAACCCTATGCTTCTTTTGAGGTAGGCAGCTGTTCCTCAATTCTAATGCCCCTGGTATGGACTCTGATTAGATTTTTTTCTTGGCCTTCCAAAAAGAAGCACTTGCAATGCAGGAGACTAGAGACAGGTCCTCAGTAGAACCCTGGTAGCACAGTGGTTATACATAGGACTTCTAACGGCAAAGTCAGCAGTTCAAAACCACCAGCCAGGGAGAAAGACAAGGCTCTCTACTCCTGTAAACAGTTACCCTCTTGGAAACCCACAGGGACCGTTCGCCCCCGTCCTCCAGGATCACTGTGAGCGGCGTGAACTTGATGACAGTGGGTTTGGTTTAGGGATTTGGGGTATGTTTAGGGAAGGGAGTCCTCTGTGGCATCTCCGCTGGTGAGAAAGATAACATTTTGAGAGTTCTGTGGTTCTGCATTCCCCAGAAACAGAAGGCCTAAGGGGACCAAATCTTTCATCCTTTTCGGGAATTTTTGTGAAACTGAAGAAGAAAAATGGAATTCTAGTCACGTATCATTCTCTGTGGAAGAGTGGACTTGTCATGCCTGGACAGCATGACAGTTGTTCAGAATGCAACAGAAACAACAACAAGAACACGCCCATGGGGACACAGCATCAGTGGAGAAAAACAGCAAAGGAGGGACTGCCCTACTAGCCCTACTGGGCTCAGAGGCCACCAGCTCAGTGAATCAAGCCCAAGGTGCACTACTGGTTTGGTTCCAGCTCCCACATGCCCAGAGGGGCATTTCCAAGGGCTGCCTTAGATGGAAGAGCCCACACCTCCAGGGGACAAACTTGTAACTGTGTTGCACAGTAAAAATTGTATGAGCCCCTAATAAAATGTTTTTTTAAAATGTAAGGACACCTGGAAAGTTAAAGACTTCATGAGACATGTGAATGTCTTGAAATATTTAAAAACTAGTAGAAGATGGAATAGATCAGATATGCTGAAGAGAGAAGAACCGGTTAGATATTTAGCAAAGCAGAAAGGAGGCTTTCTGAAAGGACAGTTCTTGGAAAATAGAACATGCCATCTTGGGAAGAACTGAATTCTTTTACCAGAGTTGAAAACACCGAGGCTGTGACGTCTCAGAGGAGAGATGGGCATGTTTTGAGGGGGAAGTCGATTGGAAGAGTGTAAACTGTGGGCTTTGGAATCAGGGTCCACCGGACCTGAGCTCTGCCTTTGTGAGACCTTGGGAATGTTTGTGCATCTGTGAAAGGGTATGTTCCTATCTGCTCCACTAAGTTATTATGCAGGTAAATGACATATTAACTAGCAGTAGTGATCGGCATATTAGAAAGTCTCCATGTTCTGTGGCCAATGCCACTGTTATTATTTGAGCTACCCAAATCAGATCGTAAGAGAAAGTCAGTATTTTTCTCCAGTTTCTTCATTTCTTTGCTTCTGCAGCTACCGTGAATCATAAGCCCTCAAAATCCCTGTCATTTTCTTTCTGTATTCCTAAATTGCCCAGAGTTCTCTATTTCACCAGGACTTCAGATCTCACTAGCCAACAGCCAGGATCCTCACCTTTCCCACCACCACTTCCTCGCCACAGTGGCAAGCAAACATTTCTATACCCTGCCGCCTCACAACCCAATTTTCTATGGTGACAACCTGCTTTTTTATGAAGTACGTATACTGAGCATACTATAGGAGTCCTGGTGGCATAGTGGCTTATTCATGGGCCTCCTAACTGCAAGGTCGGCAGTTCGAACCCACCAGAAGCTCCTGAGAAGAAAGATTTACAACCGCAGAAACCTACAAGGACAGTTCTACTCGGTCCTTTAGGGTCACTGTGAGTCAGAAGTGATTCAATGGCCGTGAGTTAGGTTGTGTTTTTGGAAGGGTGCTATGTTAATATAACAGAGTACCTAGATTGTGCAAATGATTAGAGGTACAAGTGCACACAGAGACACCTAAAAAGGCCTGATGTTCTACTTTCAAAATCTCAGCCCATGAAAACCCTGAGTCACAGCAGTCGGATCCTGTAATACATGGGGTAGCCATGGCTCCACAATAGCTTGCAACAAAAGCAGATCGTATTTGATTCCCTATAGAGATTCTTATCATGGCCATTTGGGGCAAGGGAAACTACAGAGCACTCTCCCGACAGGCTGACTTGGAAGATATTTAGCTGTGGGTGGGCCCTTCTCCAGTTTGCCCATTGATTTTCTGAGGAATCTTAAGGATAACCCATCTTTCTCCCACCCAAGAACAGAGCAGAGCTACGTGCAGAAGCGCTGGAAGGATGTGCGTGTGGGAGATTTCATTCAGATGCAATGCAACGAGATCATCCCTGCAGACATCCTGCTCCTCTTTTCCTCCGACCCCAGTGGGATCTGCCACTTGGAAACTGCCAACTTGGATGGAGAGACGAACCTCAAACAAAGGCGTGTTGTGAAGGGCTTCTCCCAGCAGGTAAGACCCTTCCCAAAATCCTCAATGGTGAGAACAAAGGGAAATTGATCTTACACCAGAGGCTAAAAGAGACAGTAACAAATATAGTTGATTTTCCCACTAGTCCTCTGCAATTAGTATTATTCCTGTTATAGATCAGAAAATTGAGGCTAAGAAACACGAAGTTGCTAAAAAGCCTCAGAGCTCCTAAATGGGCCTTCATCTGAGTTCTCCCCTCCGCTGTCCTTGCCACGTTCTCCAGGGGTGTTTGCAAAAGAACAGGACAGGACCTGGGCAGAGTTCAGACGTCTTGCAGACCAGCAGTAACCATCGATTTCTGGGTTCTGAGGCCTGTGGCTACCCTCTGGAGCAGACTCTTTAAATATTTGACCATAACTCACAAAACACCAGACCAAACTCACGAGGCCAATTCAGAGTGACCCTACAGGATGAAACAGAGCCGCCCGGGGGACCTTCCAAGACGAAGTCTTTATGGGAATAGAAAGCCTCATCTTTCTGTCTCAGAGCAGTTAGTGATTTCGAATTGCTGACCTTGTAGCTAGTAGCCCACCTTGCAATCCACTACAATATCTAGGTTCCTTAACTCACAATAAGAAATGCATAATGCACACACACATGCCTTGAATAATTGTGCGATTGTGTTGAAGCTTTTGCCTTACTGTATACTTAGCACTCTTAGACTTTCTATTCTGTTCTATTTTGTGTTTATTTTTGTTTGTTTGTTTGTTTGTTTTAAAGTTCTGGGAATGCTGAAACTTATGTTTGGCTATAAGTCTCCCCCTTCAAATGCCCTGAGTGTCTTCATCGCCATCTGAAATCTTTTATAGTTTAATGTGGCTTGAGCGTCACTTTTCTTTCTGTCTTTGGAACAGTTGCTGAGCCGTTTCGTGCATATTCATGAGTCTTTGGGATTTGACCAGATGAAGAGTCAAGTGAAAGGGTCACTCCCACTCCTGTGCTGTAGACCAGCCAATTGAATAAAACCTCTCAGACTCCAGCCCGGACGTCTTGCAGAGTAATTGGCAAAATGATTTGTTTTTTTAAATGTCTAAGTTCATATGTGATGGGAAGGAGATTAATTTGATCTTGAAGGTTTCAATTCCTGACGCTTCCCTCTCAGCTAACTCAAGTGCTTGCTTCCCGTTATTTCTATAATGGCCACACAGTGTTATTGAAACATTACTAAGGGTTTTTCCATAGTTATTTCACTTAGCCTCACAGCACCCAATGAGGCAGATACTTTTATTGTCCCCATTTTGCATGAAGGGAAACTGAGGAAATGAGACATTCAGTAATTTTCCCAAGGCCACTGAGGCAGGAAGTGTTGGAGCTAAGATTTGAAACCACTTTTTCCAGCTTCGTGGCCCTTAAAGTCTATAGTATTTCATCTTTCTGCCCTTTGTCACTCAGCAACCCGAACCTGCACCCGAACTTCTCCTTTCCAGTGTTCTTTCCACATGCAGGCGGCAGGAGAAATCAAAGTGAGTGCTGTCTGCCCTCAGGGGGGGAGGGGTTTGGCTGCTTTCTGTCACTTTGCTGCTCCTTTGTGTCCTCAGAGCAGAAAGGCCTCTGAATATGAATACAGCTCACCTCCCTCGAACTCTGCCCAGTAGCATTTCCCAAACAGGTTCCAGGAAGACAGTAGGGAAAGCTGCACAATATTTCAGATGATGGTTGGCTACAAGTTGTCAAATGTGGCTACTGCCAAGCATCTCGAATACTGTAATAAGCCCGTGTACATTGTGAGTGCCAAAGGAGAGGAGGGGGAAGGTGTAAGTATTTCACAACATTGGATCACCGATGAGTGGTGGCCAGCAAGTCCGTTCCGACTCACTGGGACCCAGGAGTGTCAGAGCAGAACTGTGCTCCCACGGATTGTCAACAGCTGAGCTTTTAAAAGTAGATCTCCAGGCCTTTCTTCAGAGGCCCGTCTGAAAGGACTGGAACGTCCACCCTGGGTGTTTGTACCTTGTGCTCCAAGGACCGACTGTGGTGGAGGATGGGGCTATCTCCCCTTGGAATTTGCTGCAAATACACGACAAGGGTTGGAGATGCTATCATAGTCGCACAGGAAGCGTTAAGAACGCGTTCTTCCCTTGCCACTACCATCACCAGATCATGATTCACTGACACTGAGTACGCGCCTAGGTATGCATATTTGGATAATTTTGCAAAAAACATGATCCTAATATGAATCTAAACTCCTTGAGAACCAGTACCATCTATCAGTACTTCTATAAAGGCGGTTTGTCATAACAACACTGAGAACAAAACTACCATCTATGGAGAGGAAGTCCAACTGCACGAAAGACATTGGTAAATTAATAAATACAAGACTCCAGAAATTGACAGAATAATAAATGAAAGGTTTCAACACATGTAGGCAGCTCTTATTTACAACTTGTGATGTGTAGATGACATAACCTTGCTTGCTGAAAATGAGGAGGACGTGAAGTAGTTGGGGAGGAGAATCAAGCATTGTAGCCTTCAGTACAGATTTCAATTAATGTAAAGAAAGCCAGAAGCCTCACAAGTGGACCCATAGGCAGCATCGTGATAAAGAGAGAAGAGATCGCACTTGTCATGAGTTTCATCTTGCTTAGGTCCACAGTCAATGTTCCTGGAGGCAGCAGTCAAGAGACCAAACGACACATGGCCTTGGGTAAAGATGCTGCTGCATAAGACCTCTTTAAAATATTGAAGAGCAGGGATGTGATGAAGATATGCATGCCCCAAGACCTCATATTTTCAATAGCCTTATTTGCATATGAAACTTGGACATTGAATAAGGAAGATGAAAGCCAAATTCATGCATTTGCGTGATGGTGCTGGTGAACACTATTGAAAATGCCATGGGCTGCCAGAGGAACAAACAAAGCTGTCTGGGGAGAAATACAGCCAGAAGGTGTCTTAGAACTGAGAGAGACAAGGCTTTGTCCCCTGTACTTTAGGCCTGTGGTCAGGAGAGACCAGTCCCCAGAAAAGGGCAGTATGGTTGATCCGTGATAAAGGGAAGAACCTCAACAAGCCAGATTGGCCCAGTGGCTGCAATAATGGGCTCAAACATGAGAAATGTGAAGATGGTACACGACTGGGTGATGTTTCATTCCGTATTACATGGAGTTGCTACAAGTCTTCACAACAACAGCAGTAGCAGCAGAGCGGGTTTTTCCATTCAGTGCTTTGCATGAATGAGCTCATTCATTCCTGTGTCACTCACCCTGGGAGGTGGGCAATAGTACTTCCTCCATTTTACAGAGATCTCTGAGCCATAGTAAAGGCAGATCTTACCAATAGATCCAGAGAAGATTCTGAACATCAATGAACCTGGGTTGTTTGAAAATTAAATATTTTATGCATTGCTGATTTTCATAAGTGTGCTTGCCCCTCGAGCCCTTGTTGTTCTTAAGCTCTTCATCTTACTGAAAGGTTTTGACTCCCCACGGAAGTTTTGAGAGAATGCATGCATGCAACCAAGCCCACTCCCACCATCTTACAGAGAAGACAAGATCATTGTGTCCTGTCAATTCCATGTCAATAAGACATACACTGGTGCAGCTCCGCTCGATCAGCATTTCTCAAGACTAAGTCTAGAAAACTATTTTTTTTAAATATTGGGGGCTCTTACAGCTCTTATAACAATCCATACATCAATTGTATCAAGCACATTTGTACATATGTTGCCATCATAATTTTCAAAATATTTTCTTTCTACTTGAGTCCTTGGTATCAGCTCCTCTTTTTTGCCTTGCTTCCCCCACCCTCCCACCCTCATGACACCTTGATAAATTGTAAATTATTAATTTTCATATCTTACACCATCTGCTGTCTCTCTTCACCCACATTTCTGTTGTTCGTCCACCTGGGGGTGGGGAGGGGTTAATACATTGATCATTGTGATATTGTGATTGGTTACCCATTTTGCCCCCTTATCCCCACACTTTCCCTATCTTCATGGTATCGTTACTCCCATTATTGTTCCTGAGGGGTTTATCAGTCCCAGATTTTGTGTGCCAAGAGCACATATCAGTACCAATGTACATGCTCCAGTCTAGCCAGATTTGTAAGATAGAACTGGAGTCATGATAGTGTGGGGGGTGGGGCGCGGGTAAGCATTAAAGAACAGAGGAATGTTTTGTGTTTTGTCGGTGCTTTACTGCACCCTGGCTGACTCATTCCTTGTGATCCTTCTGTGAGGAAATGTCCAATTGCCTACAGACGGGCTTTGGGTCTCCACTCTGATCCCCCTGTTTGCATCAATATGATTGTTTGCTTTGGGTCTTCTCATGCCTGATACCTGATCCCGTCAACACCTCATGATCACATAGGCTGGTGTTCTTCCATGTGGGCTTTGTTGCTTCCCTGCTAGAAAGCCACTTGTTTAACTTCAAGCATTTAAGACCCCAGACGCTGTATCTTCTAATAGCCGGGCTCCATCAGATTGTCTAGAAAACTCTTCTCTGAAAACATCCCACTGCTCTCAAGTCAGTTCTGACTCACAGTGACCTGTGCAGGCTTCCCTGGGTGTTGTAAATCTTGACAGGAGTAAGCAGCCTCATCTTACTCCTGAGAAGCAACTGGTGGGTTTGAATTACGAACCCTTTGTTAGCAGCCCAGCCTTACCTGAAAGCACCACCAGGGCTCTTTATCCCAGAAGATGCTCACTGCCATCGAGGTGATCCGGGCTCATAGTCGCCCTGTAGGACAGGGTAGAATTGCCCCTGTGAGTTTCCCAGACTGTCACTCTTTTTCCCCCCAACAGTTTTATTGGCATATAATTCACATATCATGCAATTCAAGGCTTCAGCCATATCAAGAAGAGTTGTATAATCACCACAATAAGTTTAAGAACATTTTCTTCATTCTTGTACTTATTTTGTTAATGGGTCCCCATTTCTCCTCAGCCTCCCCTGTCATACCCCTAAGGAATCATTAATCCAGTTATTGACAAAGAATGGAACCATTTATGGAAGTAGAATGTCTAGTTTTCTCCCAAGAAG